GAGAGACAGAGATAGTCACTTAATATTATTAAAGGGAATAATACACCAAGAAAAAATAATGGTTGTTAATATATACATTAACATCTACTAGCCAACAAAATATAATAACATATTAAAACCATAATCACAAACCATGATCAAATTAATTTCATACCAGGGATGTAAGGTTGGTTTAACAAACATAAATCAGTAAATATAATGCAGGATACAAATAGAATCAAGGACAAAAATCACATAATCTCAATTGATGCAGAAAAAGCCTTTGAAAATATCCAACATCATTTTATGATAAAAGATACTAGGGATAGAAGGAACATACCTCAGTGTAATGAGAGATAGATGGGTAGGTAGAGAGAGAGAGACAGAGACAGAGAGACACAGACAGAGAGAAAGAGAGACAGAGGGACAGAGAGAGGCAGAGACAGAGACAGAGAATCTCTAACGAACATACAACCAACATTATATCAAATACGAAAAAGTGAAATGTTCTAATTTCAGGAATAAGACAAGAGTTTTCATTCTTTCCACTTTTATTCAACATTTACCTGGACATTTTTTGGCCAGAGCAATAAGGCAAGGGAAATAAATAAGATGGATTTAAATAGGGAAGTAAGAAATCAGATCATCCCTATTTGCAGCTGGTATGATTCTGTACTTTAAAGGATTAAGATTCCACCATAAAACTCAGATTTGAGAACACTTTTGGCAATGTAGCAGAATATAAAAGCAACACACAAAAATCTGTAGTTTTTTTGTATACCTGTAATTAATGAGCTGTGAAAGAAACAACTCTGTTCATAATAGTCTCACCAAAAAAAAAAAAAGCCACATACAGTGGCTCATGCTTGTTATCTTACTTAGGATGCTAAGAACAAGAGCATGGAGATCCAAGGTCAGCCTTGCAGAAAAGTTCACACCACTGTCAACTCACAACTGGGTACAATGGCACGTACCTGTTACACAAGCTACATGGGAGGCTGAGATTGAGAGGATTGTGGTTCCAGGCTAGCCCAGGCAGAAAAGTTCATGAGACCGAGTCTCCATGAAAAGGAAGCTGGATGTGGTGGCCTCTGAGATCCCAGCAAAATCTTTAAGTCTATATAAGTGGATCATTGTGCAAGTGCCTGTGCAGGAAGCAAGACACTGCTCAATTCTAAAAACAACCAATAAAAAACAGGAATGGAATTATAGCTCAGTGGTTTCATGCCAGCCTAGCCCAAACTAGTTGATGAGTTAAAAAAATGGATTACTCACCCAGGCACCCATGGCTCATGCCTGTAATCCTAGCTACTCAGGAGGTTAAGATCTGAGAATTGCAGTTCAAAGCCTGCCCGCGCAGGAAAATTTGTGAGATACTTATCTCCAATAAACCACCAGAAACTGAAAGTGGCTCTGTGGCTCAAGTGGTAGAGCTCTAGCCTTGAGCTGAAGAGCTGAGGGACAGCACCCGGGCCCAGAGTTCAAGCCCCACAACTGACAAAAAAAATGATTACTCAATAAGAGTGCCTAAGTATAAAATTAACCAAGGAGGTAAAGGGACACTTCAATGAAAACCATAAATACCTGAAGAAAGATATTGAAGATGACATCAGGAGATGGAAAGACATCTTATGTTCCTGGATTGGAAGAATTAATATCATGAAAATGGCTATACCATCAAAAGCAATCTACAGATTCAATACAATTCCCATCAAAATTCCAATATCTTTTTTCCATCATGCACTCTCTGGGAGAAAATTATAGCTCTCCTTAATGATTTATTTCAAATAATTCTTTACTAGTGAAGATTTCCCTACCAAACTTAATGGCCTCTTTCCTCAACCCCAATGTATACACTCAAAACATACACCCAAACCCATTTTTGTAGGTTTCATTACTTTGCTATATTCCTATAACACTTTACTCAGAGTTTTATTAGAGTGCTTATTACAATAATTTACATTTGGGTTCTTTATGTGTATGCCTGTTACTATATAGCAAGTTCTTCCCAAGCAGTAAATTATTTGTGCTTATCTCTGTATGCCTAATCACAAGCATAGTACTTGTTGTGTAGTAAGACTGAAAATTTTTTGTTTAAGAGAAAGAAGATGATAAGAAAAGAAATAAAAATCAAATCCTAGGTAAAATGTTATGAGAATATATAATAAGGAGTAATTAATTCCAGTGAGATAGCTCCATGGATAAGGTGACTTTTTAGATGACTCTTGAAAAATGAGTAGGTTTTGACAAGTAAGGATGAGTATTAGAGGAAGGGAAAGACGTGAAGGGCATTTAAAGCAGAATTTATAAAGAACTTTAGGACCACCTTCACTGTGGCAAAATGATACTGTTAATTCACACACATTCCTTCTTGATACATGTAAACAAGCATTAGCAGGAACTGTACTTTTTAACATTTAGCAGACATTTTGAATTTATATAAACTTTGAAAACAATAATTCTGAGTTGTCCCTGTAAAAATACTGACATTCAGATCATTCCTCCTTTCACCCCCCGCCACACACACACAAATTAGTCAAATTTAGTGAGATTAGTATGCTGTGATTCTTATTTTTTTATCTCAAAATCTTGTTTTGAAAAGAATTCTTGTTTTGTAAAGTTCCCAGGATTGCAAAACAACTGAGTAGCCAGGCTGCTGCAAATACACACACACACACACACACACACAAACACAAACACACACACACACCAATGGGCCAGGGCTTCAGAACCTACTGATTTGCTCTGCAAGTAATTATCTAGCCACTAGTAAATACCAACGTATGAGCTTGGTAATGTCTCAAAATCCCTTCTGGCTATATATCCTTGGAGATTTGTGTCCTCTAAGTGGGCATTGGAAGTCCATGTAGATCTAATGATTACGTAAACTCTTCATCCCAAGGATGGATTTTGCCCTGTTTGTTTTCTTGATATCTCTAGCTCAAAGATACACCTTCATAGGGACTATTACTGAAGAGGAAAGGGACCAGAAGGAGGGGAATGGAAGATAAGAAGGGGTAATAACAGGTGAATATGATCAATATACATTAGATACATTATGAAAACATAACAATGAAACATTATTTGGTTCAATTAATATGCCATAATAAATTTAAAAGATATGTCTCCAGCAGAGAGCACTGAAAATTGGCTGAGTCCGGAGGTCCTGCAGATACTTAAATCACCAACTCTGAAATGTGGCTTCGGAGTGCTGTAAAGAGCTTTTATGTCCATCACGTATTACATATTCTGTGTGTAGAAGGGGTGTGTGTGTGTGTGTGTGTGTGTGTGTGTGTGTGTGTGTGTGTGTATTTCTGTGTGGTTTATATAGGGAGACAAAGGCAGCAGAAAAATAATGAAAACTAACATTTCAGAAATAGTATCTTTGGACATTTTCTTGTTCTGACCAAACTCTGACAAAATCGCACTTGTGTAATAATCCAGCTAAGGATCATACTTGACATTGCCAAGTTAGAAGCATGTGATGAGCATCAGCAAGCTACTAGTAGAACAGAGTTGCTTTCAGGGGTGTGAACAACTGAAGTGCATACTGGGCTATAGGAGGAAAGCCATAGAAAGTTTTTTTTCTGCAATTATCAGTAGGAAAAGGAAATTACCAAATTTAAAGTCCTTGTGTTTAGCTGACTTGTTGACTGTATCTCTCCTAACTCTGCAAAGAGGTGCATTTGCATATATAACCTACTTCAAAATCATTATTCATGTCATCACTTCCTGATGTCTTCCTTCTGTTTTTTACCATCTAATAACTATCCATTTCTCAAGACATGTTCTATAGAAACCTGGACTGTTTTTTGCCTGCCTTTTCTGTGAAATATTTCCTACCTACTCAGGCTGCCATAGTTCTTTATTCCTTAAACAGTAATAATTGGGTCTCTATATCATTCTGGTATTTCACTGCTTCCTAGTTATTTAATTGGAGATAGTAAGCCACAGTGACTAAAATATATACCTCCTGTGTGATCTTTAGCAATACACGTGATGTTTTAAAACTTTTGATCTACTAAATTAAGACATAAAATCTCTCTACTTCATAAGATGGTCCTGAAAGTTAAAGGAAAATAATGTATGCCAACTGCTTTACCTGACATATTTTAATATGGTGATGGTAGTGCTAATAGTGATAATTATTACCATCATCATAATATCTTCCACTAGATTGTATAACCTTGGAAGGCAGTGGCCATGTCCCCAATCTGCTTTTTTTTTCCAGGGTGGTACTAAGATTTGAACTCTCGGTTTCATGCTTGCTCAGGTTGTTCACTCAAGGCTGGTTCTCTACTTCCTGAGCCATGCCTACAGTCTTTCCTGCTTCTTTACTAGTTATTTTGGAGATTTAGTCTATTGGGGTTTTCTGCCCAGGCAGACTTTGAACTACAGGATTCTGGATATCAGCTTCCTGAGTAGCTAAGATGACAGGTGTGAGCCTCTGTCACCCTGCTTCTAATCTTTTTTTCCACTGATTTTCCTATAAGCCCTTAAACACTAATACCAATTAGCAAATTTTATGTCTGCTGATTTTATGATCAACTCTTTCCAATGCTACTGCCTGAAGATATGAAATTGTACCAGAAGTATAATTTTCAAATGTTGTTGCCAACTATAGAAGCTCTATGATGTATTTTCTTGGTTTGCATGTATGAGTAGTTAAGCTAAAAACTGCCAAAGTAATCATATACTAGTTGACAGAAGAATAGGAAACTTTTTAACCATCATGAACTTCTGTTCTCTATATATCTGTTTAAAAAGGGGAGAGAAGAATTGAAAGGATGACCAGAAGGAAAGAAACACACTAAAATATTATCTGGTAAATTGTTTTCAAAGTTCATTATTTCTTCTACCTCAAGCTGTATTGTTTTAATCTTTGTAGGAAACCATTGAGATTTTATCCATCACTTGTCCATTGACCATTTCTGTAGAGTTTACCAGAGTTTACAATGATAAGCAAAGTAGATACTAGAAACGGCACACAACAAATTTTTGGGCCTGTGATTTCTTTTCAGCTGATAATAGTAGAACTCTGAATGTAGATTCCACTGCAATGGCGCTACCTATGTCTGATCCAACTGCATGGGCCACAGCAATGAATAATCTTGGAATGGCACCGCTGGGAATTGCTGGACAACCAATTTTACCTGGTATGTTATTTTTAATCATCTCATAAGTGCTTCTTTTTGATTGACTATGTGGTAATAAATATAACAGTATGACACAACTTATTTTGAAGTTGACATTTACCAGATTCTGCCTAGAGTGTGCATTTTTGTAATATGAGCTTTATAGACTGGGTGGCTAGTCTTTACTAGTACACTTATAATAGCACTTTGGAAAAGCTTTGGATGGATCTAGGGTGATTGAATGTTTAAATAGTTCATTGAAATAAAAGACAACAGAATTTTGGCAAGAATTACAAAGCTTGCTTAATTTGATAGATTTCTTAACACAGACAAATAAACATGAACATGGAAAGAGAACTGACATAGACATTCCCCAAATCTGATATTCCCCATGGGGAGGAAAGAAGATGGTAAGGGCACCAATCCAAAATCTATTTTTAACATTGAATAACATTATTTACAAGTATAAAAGCAAAGCAACCCATAAAAGAATGGACCTTTTGGACTAACTCCATCATCACTAAAAATAAAGTCAGAAGAAAAAAAAATCATAATATCTACAGGGTTTGATTTAGACACACAAAAAGAGCTTCCTGGCCAGTCAGAGCTAATTATCCATTACCACAAGTTCGTGAAAGCATTAGGGAATTGTCCTCTCAGGGAGCTTATGGTAGCTTTTTAAAACAGCCTGAACATTAATCTCCCCAGATTTACTTAATTGTCATCCTACTTAAAAACACAAAACCATGCCAATCTAGAATCTTGTTCCTCCAAGTGGGCTCTGAATAATCCGGGAATTATTTAGAATGCCGCCTCACAGTTCTGACCTACTGAAATAGAAGCTGAATTTTCACGAAGTCCTCAAGATGATTCACAGGCAAATTCATCTGGAGAAAGAGATCTATAATGATTTCACTTTGTTGTGCCATTTTGCTCATATAGTTCATTAATCCTTCCCCTGTCCTTCACTCATTGCACAATTCCAGCCTACATTTTAAATTATTCTCATTGTGATGAGGGTTAAGGTAGATTGAGGCAACAGAAATATTAATAATATTAAGAGATATTATGATGTTATATTGAACAGGAAACAAGTATAAAAGTGGCTAAACATGAAGAGAAAAGGTATGTAAAGGATAAATGGGTGGAGAAATAAATGTACATGTAGCAAAGGCAAAGAGCTATTATATCATACTATAATTTATACCAGGGGCTGTAGTTGGCTAGACCACATTCTTCTCTGTTAGACCACCATAACTGGAATGAACATCCAGAGATTTTTTGAAGTCTAGAATGAATGGCCTAAGGATGGAAATAGTTTTAAATGACTAGTGAGGCCAGTCAGTAGTCATTGACCATAAGAATCAGTACTGCATTGTGCTTAAGATCTCTGGATTTAATCTGCCTGGATTATAAGAATGTTCCTTTCATCATTTGACCTTGGGAAATTATATATCTCTTTTGAAAGAAGTGATACTGGGATTTGAAATCAGAGCTCCTCAGTTGCTAGGTAGACATTGTACTGCTTTCAACCAGTCTGCCCTGGATGTACCTTGATGTATGCTTCCTTCCATAGCTGGAATATTAGGCACATGTGACCATGACCAGATTTCCTTGTGGAGATATGGTCTTTTAAACTTAGTTTTATTTTTGGCCTAGACTAACCTGGAACCCTAATCCTCTGAATCTCAAGTACATGCTACCCCACTGAGCTATTGGTTCAGACAGGGATCTCACAAATTTTACCTGAACTCACTCTCCATCTTTAGCCAGCTAGGATTACAAGTATAAGCCTTCAGCATCCAGCTGTGTATCTTTTCTTTACATACTGATGTGGAGAGCTTGAACACAAGACCTCATGCTCTTGCTTAGCTTTTTTAAAGAAATGAGTATGAATTTTTAAAATTGTCTTTAAGTAGTTGTACAAAGGAGTCACCATTTAACAAAGCAGTTTGTTAATACAATTCATATTGATCAATGTCACCCCTTTCAACAGCCCTTCCCACCCCTCCCCACCCAACTCTTCCCTTGCTTTTCTTAATTTTGTAGGATATGCAGTATGCATATAGAATTTTATATGTTGTTAAAAGTATGCATGTTTAAAAGTGTAGAAAGTGTTTAAGAGCATATAAAGTTTTTATAAGAGTGTAGGAAAGGTTAATAAGAGAGGAGGAAGGATTTATAGGAGAGTAGGAAGGTTTTATAAAGCCTTAATATATGTACATATACAAATATATAATAAAAGAAATATAACACTGCTACTTTGCGGATTTACATGTACTGCAGGGGTCTCTAGAACGTAACTCCCACGATAGGTGAGGGATCACTGCACACTGAATTCTTGACTGCGTTCTCCCTTCCTTCTCCTATTGATTTTAGTATGAATTTTTTAAAACATCTCCATTAAATATTCTAGTGATATGGAAAATATAAAAAATCAGTGCAAAAAAATAATCACAATCCCAGTAAATATAAGCAGACTTTTTATCTTTAAGTAGTTGTACGAAGGAGCTTCAATTCAGCGTGTCAATATATGAGAACACTGCATCTTGATCAGTATCACCCTTTACATTGTTCCTCCCAATCTATCACAGACTATACCCATTCCCTTATGTTACCTGGTTCCATTTTTACATATGTACAGTGAATATTATAACTACCATCACTCTTTCTGTTTGTTCCCTCCCACTTATGCCCTACCACCTAGAGAAAATATGGTTCAGCTTCCTGGTATTCATTTGGTTAAGCTATCAGTTAATTGTTTAGAGGAGATAAACCAGGCAAATCCATCCTTTCATATACCATATATTACACAGTTTGATTTTGCATATGTCCTCGTCTGTGTTTTATGTATGTTTATATTTTAGATATAATTTATACATATGAGAGAAAACATGTGCCCCTTGTCTCTCTGTCCCTCAGCTTTTTTGCTCACAATTGGTGCATTACCACTTCAGCCAGACCTCCAGGTCCACAGACATATATCTTCTGAGACTCGATTTCTTCATTCATGCAATTAGAACAAGAATTTCTAACTCCAGGGCTGGGAAGGTGGCTCAGTGGTAGAGCACTTGCCTTGCATGCATGAGGCCCTGGGTTCGATTCTTCAGCACCACATAAGCAAAAAGAAAAAAAAGCCGGAAGTGGCGCTGTGGCTCAAGTGGTATAGCACTAGCCTTGAGCTGAAGAGCTGAGGGACAGCGCCCAGGCCCAGAAATATGAGAATTAAATCATGATTAACACAATGCCTGGCACAGAGTAAGAACTCCAAAATATTTTAAACTATTAATTTTGTAATGCATTTTAATAATTGCTAATGGTTAATAATGTTAAATGTAAATAATTATTTAACTATTATTTTCTTTTTTTCTTCTTTTCTTGTGCCAGCCCTGGAGCTTGAACACAGGGCCTATGCATTGTCACTGAGCTTCTTTTGCTCAAGGGTAGTGCTCTACTACTTGAGCCATGGCTCCTCTTCGGGCTTTTTTTTAATAGTTTATCAGAGATAAGAGTCTCACAGACATTCCTACCTGGGCTGACTTCAAACTGCAGTCCTCAGATCTCAGCCTCCTGAGTAGCTAGAATTGCAGGCATAAGCCACCAGCACCCAGCTGTTACTATTTTCTAAAGAATATAATGCATTTTACATTTAGTGTTTCTTCATTATTTAATTACAATAGAATTTAAGCTAAACTGTTGCATAGTCTTGTACAGCTCAATGCAGTGTGGTTTTTAAACAAAACTAAAATAGTCTAAGGTGGCTAGACAATATGATCTGGCTTAAGTACTCTGAGTCTATGCAGTCTGGAACACATAGATAAGTGTTAATACATGTAAAGTCTTTTTTTTTTGTCGGTCATGGGGCTTGAACTCAGGGCTTGGGCACTATCTCTCAGCTCTTCAACTCAAGGTGAACACTGTACCACTTGAGCCACAGCTCCACTTCCAGTTTTCTAGTGCTTTATTGGAGATAAGACTCTCACAGACTTTCCTGCCCGGGCTGGCTTTAACCGCTATCCTCAGATCTCAGCCTTCTGAGTAGCTAGGATTACATGCATGAGATACCAACACCCGGTGATATGTAAAGTCTTAAAATGATGCCTGGCTCCTCGTAATCCCTAAATTAACTCAGCTATTGTTATTGTTTCAAGTTCATGTATAATAACATACGTGTTGATTAATCTTGATTGTCACCTTGACTGAGTTGAGAGAAACCTAGGACATTAATTAAGCCCTCCTCTAAATATCTGGAGGTTCATCTACAGAGAGGATTGGTACACAGAACAGAAACGGGGAGAATGACTTATCCTGAATATATATAAGTGGCACTATTCAATAGGTTAGAGGCTAGGAAAAAATCAGTGGAAAAGTGAAGATCCAGCCAGCACATTGCACTTTCCATTCTTTCTGAACAAGTATGTCTATTTCTATTGTTGTTTTCATTGCCCAGAGATATCAGACTCAAAAAGACCAACTAGGACACAGGCGTGAACAGAAGGTAGTTGACATAGTAGAAATGGTATATCAAGGTAGTCCCTCCCCCCAAAAAAAACCTGAGGCATCCAAGGACTACTTTACCAAAGGAGATATTAAGGCACCCATTAATACAGTCTGTGTATATAAATGCAGAAAATTTTTAACTTTCAAGCCTCTAGAAAAGCACATGAATTTCAAGAGCTCCAAGATAAGGGAAATAAGAGATCAATGGCCTTATCTAGCTGAAATAACTAAATACACAATGATAGTAATAGTCATTTTATTTAAAAGGCTTTCGTGGGGGGGGGCGGTGCTGGGAAGGTGGCTCAGTGGTAGAGTGCCTGCCTTGCATGCATGAGGCCCTGAGTTCGATTCCTCAGCACCACATAAGCAGAAAAAGCCAGAAGTGGCACTGTAGCTCAAGTGGTAGAGCACTTGCCTTGAGCTGAAGAGCTGAGGGACAGTGCCCAGGCCCAGAGTTCAGGCCCACGACCGACAAAAAAAAAAACAAAAAAGCTTTCATGGAAACCATTAAGAAAAGACCT